CAAGTGCCGCATCAATGTCGGCAAGTTCAAGGGCCAACACGGCCGCGTGCTGCGCTCGAGGAACGGCTGGGTGCAGCTGAAGCTCGAGAACTCGAGCGAGAACACAGCCAAGCGTGCGTACGAGCTCACTCTTCTCGAGGATTTGGAGACCATTAAGAAGCTGCATGCCAAAAGTCTCGAGAAGGAGAGAAAACGTCGCGCTGAGAGCCGAGCCAACGGGACGAACGCCGGAGACGACGGAGACGACGAAGATGACGAAGACGAAGCCAATCAGAGCGGGACGGACGACCTGCTGACTGCTGAGCAGAGTGACGATTCACAGGGAGAAGACAACGGCACACGTTCGCGTCGTGTGTCGACTCGTGGGAACTACGGCATCTCGTGGATTGAGAAGAAGGTGAATTTGCCGAACCGCAAGGGCTTTGGTATCGTCAAGAAGGCAGATCGAGATACTTGCACGGTGGAGATCCAAACCACCAAGGTGATGCAAGTGTTCAAGAAGAAAGATCTCCAGCTTGCAGGTGACAGCCACGCGAAAACGGCTCGTCAGAACAGCCGCAATCGCAATAATGCCAAGGCTCGCGAGAAACTTGGGCTTGGAGAGGACGTGGTGTTGATGGGCACGACTCCGTCACGTTATATTGCGTTCCAAGACCTCGTGAAGAAGTTTGCAATGCGTCGACGTGAAAAACTCAAGAAGCGCCCGAACCTAATCGAGTGGGAAGCGCGACTGAATTTGAACTACTTGGAGAATGGATTCTGGGACAAAAGCGATCCGTCCGTAATTGATATCGTCGTGGTTCCTCAGTGCGAGATTTGCGGCGTGGAGAAAGAGGTAGGATGGGAGTGTTGTGCTGTTTGATTGGCGGTGTAGTTAATACGCTGTGGTTATTATATTCGTAGCCCGTTATACTCCGCTTCGTTGACGGTGAGGCCTTCCGCATAAGTGGATCTGGCCCGTACAACTTCCCATCCAGGTAGTCTCCACAGTATTGCACTGTACGCCCCGCCTCCGCGTCGAACACGAGCGGATCCATCGAAACTCAGGACGTACAGATCCTCATCTGCCTGTACCGTCGGGATCGGGATCTGGATCCGGCGTTTAGGCTCTTTCTTAGGAGCGACCTAGTCAGCGCCTCATCCATCTTAGCTCGAGGAGTGATGCTCGCGGCCAAGACTCCCAGGATCTCGTCTTCCCCTTTCGAACATTTCACAATCTGCAGCGTCCAAGGCGAGAGTAAAGCTGCCCACTGTCCCAAACGTCCTTGTAACCCGGCCGACTTGAACAGCCAGGCTAGCGTAGAGTGTCGGGTCAGGATCCGGATGGATCTTCCCACCAGCAGGTTGTAATTCAGATCCAACACGCGCAGGAGCGCGAGTATCTCTTTCTCCACCGCTCCGTAGTTCAGTTCATTCGGCTTCAGTGTCCGGCTGACGAAGATGACTGGATGACAGATCCCCTCATGTTCTTGTACCAGAGCTGCTGAGACTGCCCAGTCGCTGGCATAAACTATTACCGTAGGTTGACGTTCTGGATCGAAATGACGGAGGATAGGCGTGGTCGCGATCCTGTTTCTCAGTTCCACGAATGCGTGTTGAGCTCGGATCCACCGAGATTCTGCCTTTTCCATGTTCTGATCCGTCGTCTCTATCCAGACTGGATCCTCTCACCGTTGGTCCCGGGGTGGATCCAGCTCCTGTTTTAGGTCCTCTTCTGGCGTCGTACCACTTGGATTCCTTCGTGGATCCGACATCTCCCGTGCCAGAGCTTGTTGGATTTTTATCCGGACAGCTGGAGTGGTCATCGCAGCAAAATCTACCTCTCTCAATTCATACAATACCGCGGCAAACAGGGCGTAATCCTCGATGAACCGACTGTAGTAGTTCAAACTGCCCAAGAAGGATTGCATCGCCCGTAACGACTGCGGGAAGGACAAATCGGCTAACGAAGACAGGTCCTTAGGATTCGCCTCCAATCCCTCCTTGGAAACTCGATGGCCTAAGTAATCCACCTTGCGCATCCCCCAATAGCTCTTTACCACACTGATAGAGAGATTCCACTTAGTACACGCCTCCAGTAGGGATGTCACTCTTTCGCACAACTGATCCCACGATTTCGCCGGGATTAGAATGTCGTCGATGTAAGATCTGCGTCCTAACACGGACGGGGTACAGGATCCCCTGGCTCTCCTGCCTCAAATGGATCTACTTCCGTATGATCTTCCCCGGATACACCCCTTTCGGGCTCCGGTATTCGGGTGAATCCATAGAGAGCGTTATCGATTAGACGTTGGTAGATCTGGGGTGCGTTCTTCAATCCAAACGGCATCCGGTTCCACTCGAACAGTCCAAACGGTGTGATGAATGCGGATATCGCGCGAGCTCGATCCGTCATAGTAACTACCCAAAAACCGCTGGCCATGTCAAGAGCGCAGTACCAGAGTACTTTATCCAAATCTTCCAACAGCTCATTGATTAGAGGCATCGGATACACCATCAATCGAGTCAGACCGTTAACCAGCCGGTAATCAATGCACAGACGTATATCCACCCCGTTCTTCTTGATGATGATTACCACTGGGGATGCCCACAGGGACGTTGAGAAACTGATGATCTTGGATTGCAGCAGGCCCTTAATCAGATCCGATAGTTTTTCTCGGAACTGAGGCGCCACCTTCCTCACCCTCTGAGCGATCGGTTTCGCGTCGCCGACATCGATGTCACATTTGACTCCGCGGGCAGCGGGCGGTAACGCATTACCTTTACCAATCAGCAGATGTCGGCTCTCCCAGATTTTCTGACGCAGACGATCCACTTCAGCAGGTTCATTC